CATGATGTGAAGAGCACATCAAGATGTGAAGAGCAATGAATATTTGATATTTATTACGGTAACATAGTCTTCAATAAGATACGATTTACTGACACAAAACCAGTTTGAGTACCGCACATCATCTTGCTTTCATACAAGTACTAATTTGTCTAAGGCCCTGTCCACACGAAGTCAAGCTCAGGCCTAAACGCAAAAATACTTTATCAATCCAGTGTATCGTCCATACGAGGCCGGCGTTTTGGGGGGGTGTAAACGAACATTTTTGAAACCAGGTCCCAGAGTGGAAAGATTTCAAAACTCCGTATATGCCGCTCCGTGGTTACTGCCTCTCCGCAATGTATCTGAGACGCTTGCGTCATCGCCCCGCCTCTTGTTAAAGCACGCATGCGCCGCACTCAGAAAATAATGACAACAACAATGTAGCTTGTTGGTTTTGTAATCCAGTGTGACCCGAAGCAACAGTTCAACCTCATCGTCCGTTCATACTAATGTAGTACCAGCTCGCCCACTCGCCATGTTGTCTGTTTACAAAATTCCGCGCATGCCCACGGAAGTTTGGGCTTGATCCCGTCATTGCGTCACAGCGCCACCAACAGGTCTGGCATAGTTTCACAGCGTTTTCAGGCGTATTGACTACATTCATATGGACGCACACATTTACTGAGCTAACTCCGTGTTTACAGAAAAAGTTTCTGAAATTATAAGCGTTTTGTCTTCGTGTGGATATAGCCTAAATAACTATCATTAGCGGAGTTCAAACCCCTCAATGTCAGATGACTTAACTAATAAGGTTCAAAGCAGGGCAGGATCAAATCAAAGTGCTTGAACTCACTTATGCCGCTTTTCCGCAGTAACAGTACGGTACAGTGCGGCACGGCACGGCCGAGTTTGGGTGCTTTTCCACTGAAAATAGTACCTCTTCAGGGAGGGATTGTCAGACCACGTCATTTACGCGCAATGTGTAACCAGTAACATTGGTGCGGTGCATGGACTTATTATAATATCGGTGATAGCTGCTATTACCTCCGAGGGGACTCTGCTAACCACCTGCAGAACTGGCCCCTAAAACCTTTTCAGGACACTGAGCGAGAGACAGACGAACATCAAGTATTTAATGTAATGTAAATGGAAGTAAGAGTATATGGTAGGAAATCGTAACTTTTGCTTTTGAACCCCTTTTCTGCACGTGTACAGACAAATGAAGATAAAGCACAGTAGCACAGGAAGGACATTAGCTTAGCTTGCTATCAATAGCTAAATGTAACTAACCCACTGTGTACAACAATCAAACATTTACATGAGTTAATGCATTTCAGTGAGAGCTTTGGGCCGACGGGATACGTAGCTAACCAGTTATTTCCAGGATTACCACAGACTAGTCACAAATCCAGAGCGATCTCCATGAAAACCTTGTTAAACCTCCGTGTTGTGTGTTAGAGCTCCCTTTGAATTCTGTCTTTCGGCCTAAAGAGAGTAACGTGTGGACGGACCAGGACGTTGACTTTTGGGGCTTTCTGTGTGATTCCATTTCTCTGGAGTGAGGAGGACGTAATGTAGCCAAAGCAGAGCAGCCGGTTTTAAAGATGGCGGGTTGAGTTGTTTTTACCAAAGGGTCAGACGTCCAGTGACGACACTCGATGACCAATCACTGTAAGGCAGTTGGCCATGTCACGTCATGGTTTAGGTTCGGCGCGGTTGGAACCACAGTTCGAGGTGGTACGAAAAAAGTACCCAAACCTCGATCCCAACCCTAGAAAAGCGGCATTATTCCCACGGTACCATATGAACAGTCATGGAACAGACCCTTTTTGTTTTTTGTTTTTTACATTGGCACAGGCATAGCTTTGTTGAACAAAATCACAGTGGTGCTAACCGTTAGAAACAGGAAACAATAACAATTTTGCATGATATTGTAAATAACTGTGATATGAGACAGTTGTGTCACAATAAAACGATATATTGCAATCTTTCAACATGTTGGAACTGCACTGTTGGCTATCTTGGTCACTATCTTGGTAACTATGGTCTATGGGCTGCAAATGTTTAATCATGAAAAAACACATGATATAACATTAAACTATTGAACACCTTTACAAAATCAATATTGCACTTCCCAATATTACGATAACAATGTTTTTGATATATTGTGCACTGCAGCGCTAATGACAGAGAGATGAGGAGAGACTTCTTCTGATATGAAGAACTAGCAACAAGTCAGAAATGGCCATGAAACTATTTACCAATATACATTAAAATGTGTCCACATTTGTACAAACTTAGGGCGCATTTTCAATAGTTTTGTTTACTTGTTTTGGAAGACATATTATGTTGCTGATGAGGGAACTGAAGTTGGCTGTAAAATAGGTTTAATTGTATTGATTTTTAAATCTCAAAACATCCCTGCTTTAACTGGACCAGCTCTGGTTCACTTGGGGAAAATGAATCTTCACAGATCTGTGATCAAAAGTGACTTTTATGGTGATTTTTGCATCAAGTAAACCAGAATTGGTCTAGCTCAAGTGAATCAGACCTTAAAGTGTGCACGCGCCCACACCTGGATTGGACCATTGGACAAGGACTTGAACTGGACCAAACAAGGTCTGCACCAGAACAAAGCTCGTACCAGGACAGGTGGGAAATAAGGCTCTGTTGAAAAGTATAGAAGATATGTGTTTGTCACACAAAATAACCTCTTCCATAAAATCAATCGCTGAAATTCAGTGTTGAAATAGTCAACAGCATCCAGTCAATACGTGTCAATGTGTTTGAATCTATATTTTGTTGCTGTGTTGAAAATAAAGGCACTTACACTGATAGAGAAAACCAAAGCAGCAATCCCCAAAGGGAAACAGCAGCACAGCAGGGTGATGATAGAGTACACCAGATAGTCGTTCTCTGGAGGAGACAGAGGCGCATGCTGTACGGTAATCACAGTCTGTCCTGGGTACACCTGTCCCGGGTAAACTTGTCCTGGGTAAGGTTGTCCCAGGTAAGGCTGGCCTTGGTAGGGCTGTCCCGGGTAAGGCTGGCCTTGGTAGGGCTGTCCCGGGTAAGGCTGTCCAGGGTAAGGCTGGCCTTGATAGGGCTGTCCCGGGTAAGGGTTTTGGTAAGCCTGTTGTGAATATCCAGGAAACTGCCAAGAATAAAATGGGCGAAGTAAAGGAAAAGGCCAGAACACAACAGCACTGTCAGTAGAACTAAACAGTTTGTTACACTCTCTCCAACTGACTGCAAAACTGTTGAACCAGAATTAGCCATAAAGGAATGCTTAAAATAATAGAAATAATAATTTGCTTTTACCAAGCGTACTACTTTGTGAAAATGAGTGTCCGATAACATCTTTCTGATTGTATTACCAAATGCACACAGTGTGGCCCTGTGTGGTAATTTAACAAAAAAAAGTCTTACTTGCGCAGGCTGTGCGTCCCCCATAGCGGACACCTCCTGGTAGGGTGGAGGGGGATTTTGCTGGCCCTGCGCCATAGCTCCCTTGTCTTGTGATGGCGCGTTCCCTTGCGTGTTCTCCATGATTCTCTCTTTATCTCTGAAACGCACGTATGTTATGAAATATGTTCCTCTTTCTTCAACGTTGTTTTAAGGGATCGGGAGTCCCACAGTCAATTTTCACTTTACCACTCCTACTCAACAACTGGAGAAGGGGCCAGTCTCTGTAAGACCGTGCGTAACATCCGCTAGAACCGATAATAGATCCATGGTGTAACGGTAAAGAAGTCTGCACTTTGAAAGCGGTTGGCTCTATTATGCTGTTACTTACGGTAAACGTGGAAAGGGAAGCCGCGACGAGAGCAAGCAAAATGCAATTGTATAAATAAAATCATTAAAAAAGAACAAAAAGATTTTTGCGACTACTTTCACTGCACACTTATTCACTGTGATGCCCTCGACCACTGTGTAAAATATCATTCACTTTTACTGTAGAAATTCAGAGATAATTGGGGTCAAAGTATGCACAATTGGTCCCAAAAGCACTTTTTTTTTTTTTTATCAAAAAAAGTTCCCTGACTACTTTCACTGGCACACTTGTTCACTAAGCACTTTTTAAAATTATTTTTAAAAAGTGCTTTTGGGACCAATTGTGCACACTTTGACCCCAATTTTCTCTGAATTTCTACAGTGAAAGTGAATTATATTTTACACAGTGATAGAGGACATCTTAGTGAACAACTCTTTTTGTTCTTTTTTAATGATTTTATTATTAATGCTTGCTTCTCGTTGCGGCTTCCCGTTCCACGTTTACCGTAAGTAACAGCATAATGGAGCCAACCGCTTTCAAAGTGCGGACCTCTTTACCGCTGCCGACGATATGCGGGGCCACTTTACCGCGGTCCGGACACTGAGGAGCACAGGGACGAGACTCCAACTAAACATGGAGAAGCTGCATTTCAGATTCCTGCTGCTAAAAATCTGGAACAATCTTCTCTAATAATATTAGATTCCAGGTTAAAACAGTTCTGTTTAGCTGTGCATACAACTGAGGGATTTTATATTTCATCTTTCTTTTTAATGAACTGTTATTTTGATTTTAATGCTATCTTGTCTTGTTCAGTACTTTGAGTTGCCTTGTGTATGAATTGTGCCATACAAATAAACTTGCCTTGCCTATATGAGAATGAGGAGTTGACGTCACGGCACAGAGTCCCCCCTCCCCATCCCCCCTTTGCCGACATATTGGCTGCGCACCGGTGGCGGCAGTACAGTTTGTTTACGTGTGTTGTGAACGCGGTAGTAGCGGAGGTTCTTGCTATTCCGCACTGTTTTATCATGCCTGGAAATAACTGCTGCGTTAAAAACTGCTCCAATACCTCCCACGATGGATATGGAAAACCTAGTAACAACGGGATACAGTTTTTTAGGTTACCGAAATGGAAAAAGCATCAAGGGGAGCAATTCTCTGACCTGACAAGGAGACGTCGGATTGCTTGGTTGGCTGCAATTAGAAGAAAGGACCTTACTTTCGATCACACACCCCTGTCGACGAGAGTGTGTTCTCTGCATTTTCACTCTGGTACGTTCTCTAAAAATGTATTTATGTAGTTGTCTCTTAAAGCTAGGAAGTGTAGGTTAGCATATGTTATTATGGTTTCTGTAGTGCCTTTGTCTCTGTGTCTTTGTTACCCTCTCAGGCTGTTTCTTACTTAGCACGTGTTCTGCGAGGTCTTTGCCAGTGTAAAGCATAGATTACATAGATTGTACACATAATCTAATTATTCTGTTGTACATAAACCTTCATATGACATTATGAGGTGACCTAAAAAGTACTTGAGATGCTGTTCATGACATAGTTGCCAGTTTAAAGCATTGATTACATAGATTGTGCAAATTATTATATTAATTATATGTTGTTATTATTCTCGTGTAGGTAAACCAGCATATGAGATGTTGGAGAACCACCCTGACTGGACACCATCCCTGTTGTTAGGCCACAATGATGTACAAAAAACAGATGAAGCGAGATATCAGCGGCAAGTAAGGCGCAGGTCCCTGCCACTGGAGCGGCAGCCACCTCCAGCCCAACACCAGCCGCAGGCGCCGCCGCCTCCAGCCCTAGACCAGCTGCAGCCGCCACCAGCCCTAGACCAGCTGCAGCCGCCACCAGCCCTAGACCAGCCGCAGGCGCCGCCGCCACCAGCCCTAGACCAGCCGCAGGCGCCGCCGCCACCAGCCCTAGACCAGCCGCAGGCGCCGCCGCCACCAGCCCTAGACCAGCCGCAGGCGCCGCCGCCACCAGCCCTAGACCAGCCGCAGGCGCCGCCGCCGCCAGCCCTAGACCAGCCGCCAGCTGACCCGGACATGGAATGTGGACTCTGCACATCTAGACGAGATGTTATCAACAATCTTCTTGAAGAAAACAGACAGCTGAAGCGTGAGCTTGATACGTACCGGATGAATGAGAACTTTCTGAGTGGTGATGATAACACAGTGAAGTATTACACGGGGCTTCCAAACTTTGCATTGTTCCAGACACTTCTACTCTACCTAACTCCAGATCTGCCTCAAGGTAGAATGAAGAAGCTCTCACCCTTCCAGCTTGTCCTATTGACTTTAATGCGCCTCAGACTGGACCTTCCAATACAGCACCTCAGCTGTTACCAGGTGACATTGTGCTGGCAGATAGAGGCTTTAATATAAGAGAACATGTGGGCATGATGTGTGCTGAAGTGAAAATACCTACATTCACCAGGGGTCGTGCTCAGCTTGAGGCGAAAGATGTGGAGGAGACTAGGGCCATAGCACATCTCAGAATTCACGTGGAGAGGGTGATCGGTGTTGTGCGCAACAAATTCAAATTCTTACACTCAACTGTACCTGTGCACATGCTTGTCAAATGTGAGGGTGAAAACCTAATGCCTTTGGATAAGATTGTCATTGTTTGCTGTGCCTTAACGAACATGTGCAAAAGTGTTGTTTGAGTACCTTATTCTTTACTGTATCTTTTATTTTTAAATAAATGCATGAAACAACTTGATATGGTTTACCAATATTTATTGAGAAATGAATATTTTTTTTGTTACAAACGTGTGCAGTCAAAGTACTGTTTCCAGCATGTAAACATGCCCAACATAGGTAAAAATGATAATAAGAGTCATACTTTTCTTAGTGCAAAGGGACACAAAACACTGCTAAACAACGTGTAACTTACACCAAATACAAGGTAGTTTACTATGTCCATGTATGTGCACGGAGGTAAATGGTCCAGGTTTCTGTGCCATTCCGCTGCAGGGAGCTCGTATGGGTCGATGTTTTTGATGTCCGCAAGCTTCTCCAAATACCTCTGTTTTGCGCTTGGTATGAGCTTGTTCCTGTACGGTCCCTTCTCTTTCGCCTTATCTCTAAGCATTGTTTTACTGTCTTCCTTTCCCTTGTTGTATCAGTAGATCCGTCTCTGTCTCGCCGAAAACGTAAATGCGTATAATTTAAAGTGCTCTGGAATATGAGGAGCGCGTGAAATTCTGGGGGCGTGCCCCCGTTGCGCAGCCAATATGTCCGACAGGCTCAGAGCCCCCCCCAAATCACCCCAACTCGGCACGTGACTCCTCATTCTCATATTGAGAATGAGGAGTCACGTGCCGAGTTGGGGTGATTGGGGTGATTGGGGTGATTGGTGAATGGATTGTCCCTAACACCTTCTACTCTTCAAAATGTCCCGCAAAGATAATTACACTTGAAAACTTTATCTACAAAACCATCTAAAGAGCATTATTAACACCGTAAAATAACACCACTGCGCCCCCTGGTGTACAGCTATAAAGGATGGAGCAATTTGCCCTTAGATAGTAGACAGATGTACAGGCCGCCATTCAAAGTTAATTCCGTGAGGATTTAAGCAGCAGAAGATGCAGTTTAATGAACGGTGAGTGACAATAAATATCTAGTGACTTAAAATTACAACAGGAAGTTTGATTTTGTAAAAGTCACATGGTTTGCATTTACACCAGAAGATGGCACTAAAGCATTAGTTCAAACAAAATTTATTATAAACACGAACAGTGCAATATTGTTATCATAATAAACACATTGGTATTATTAACAGCATTTCATTACACATGAGAGTGATAGATGCTTCAGAGACATCCATGAAACTACTTTGCAATTCTAACACAGACTACTTTTTGGTATAGCTGAACTTCAGTCAACAGAAATCAACCGAAGCAAAGGATGACAAAAACAGCACTCACTCTATCAATATAAATGACAAGATTTTTCCAGGAAGTGAATAGAGGCTAAATCTGTTTTATATTGAGGATTTCTGCAAGACATTACAAAGTCAGGCTTATATGTAAAGCCATTTTTACGAGTTAGAAGTATTTGTAGTACGATGGGGCGTTAAAAGACAATGGTAATTGATATAACCACAGAAAGTCATAGTTTGTCTGCTTCTATAGAACGCTCCCAGCTCTCTGCACTAAACTTGTTTACATCCTGTTGCTTCTAACAAAAGTTACAAAACAAAACGCCTCAGCTACTTCTTTTGCACTGATGGCAGGTATGTGGAGCCAGTTGTCAACATTCAGCAAGCACGACCTGAAAACACAAAAAGGCACAAACTTAAATAAGAAATCACATGCTTTATGTTGTGGGAATGTATTTAAGTAGAGGCCCTAATAAGATTTATTAATAATCAAGTAACATAGTGAGAATGTATCACACCCATGGCCCATATTTAGTACATATTAAATATGGGCCTAATGTTATAAAATAACTAAATCTACTCGCATCTACTCACAAGATGTGACATCAGCAGAAACCATACACTGTGGTCACATCAAAGGAACCACAGGCTCCACTCCACATGTTAGTGAACTTCTGTAAATTGCCCTCTGTATCCAGCAAAGCTCGGAAAACTAAGTAATCTTAAAGCAAGGAACGAGACGCCTTGGAAGAAGAGAAGGAACAACTGGTCAAGAGTGGGGCAGCTGGTTCACTCTTGCACCAAGCTCTGGAGAAAGAGAATGAATGGCACCTGCGAGCAACGTCCACTTTGACTGAGCTAGAGCACCTCCTAGTGGAGCGACAGAGTGCCTACTGCTCCATTATCCTGCCTAGAGAGCAACGCCTGGAAATGGAGAAAAACATTCTACTGAGGGCCGTCAAAGATCCATTTGTGTCACAACTTAATTTGGAGTTGGACTTGAAAGACATTTTTAAGAGGGATAAGCACTGTGCAGAATTGCTTAACGTGGACAAGAGGAAGAATGGGAGTTTAATGTGGGTTTATCTGAAATACTGGCAACTGCAAGTCACCGTTCAGAAACACAGGAGAGCAGAAGATGCACTTTTAGGAAAAACAAAGTGAGTAATGACTGCATTGAAATCTGAATGTTTTGCATACTTAAAATAAAATGTGTTAATTTCTTCAGATTAAATTGTCTATAACTATTACATTGTTTATTTATGTTTAAATTCTTTTTTTAGTAGAGGATATTGCATCTCACAAGTTATTTTTTTGTCTGCAAGAGAAGCAAATGGTGAATAAAATTATTTTGATTCTGACCTGTGATTCTCGAACGTCAAATTTGCATTTTAGATCTGCATAATATACTTCCATTACTAGTTGTGTAGGCATCAAGCCGACATCTCTGAAGTTTTCATCAAAGTGAAGTCTGATTATTTATATTTTTATATATATATCTTTGACGATTCTTAATTTGTTTTTTTCGGTGGGAGATTTTTTTTATCTGCAGTGGCCTCTGCTGCTCAGCTTGTGGACCACCTGTTGCAGCTCACAACTCTACCAGTATAATTTCTCTCTGACAGCGTCATTAGGGTCATTAATAAAACCTTTTAAGTTATGTACATAATGAATTCATTTGCCTGTATTGAGATCTTGTTTCGATCACCTGACTTGTCCAACAAGCCTGGTAGCACACATTCGTCCAGTGGTTTTTCTTCTGAACATCAAAGAAGGAATTGACCAGATAGTACCACCTCATCTCACGCAATGTATTGAACCAAAAAAAAAAATGGTGTCCAGATATCAGTGAAAGAAATTGATTGCTGATTGCTGTTAAATGTACAAAATTAAATAACAGGAATAAGTGATTGCTAAAAATTATGCATTGTAAGAGTGTATCTGCTACTGAGTAGTCAGTTGCCTCTTGCTAGAGTCCAGATCTTCATTTACATCAACAACCTGTCTTGTGTTGATATGGTCCTCGGTCAACCGGAAACTATTTGAACAAGAAGCTATGGACTAGTGGAAATTTGATAAGAAGAATCAAGAATGCCAACAACTTATTTAATCAATATAGATTTATTGAGAAATAAAGAAACTGTATTAACTGTCATGGTTGCACATTGTATGTAAAGTAAGAAAATCTACAGAGAGTTTAATTTACCACATTTGAATAAGATCTCATCAACAAGGTTGTTCATATATTAATGCGTCATACGTTGAACCACGCTGGTCGTTTTCTTGGCCTCTCTACAATCCTTTTATCAGTGTCTTGTGCGCTTGGTGTTTCTCCCTTATAAAGTACAACAGTTTCCACTGCTGGAGCCCCAAAAGGTCCACATTCCATTTCTTTGATTTGATTACGAATCTCTGCAGTTTCTTTACAGACTTTAGTGTAACATAAGCCGCACAGTATATGTTTCTGTTTCAGATGGCCACATTCTGGACATGGCTCAATATTGGTCTGCAGAACATCAAGAAAGAAGAGCAAGTTAAAATAATAAATCACAATACTGAGCAATAATATAAGTAACAATTGGAAAATTACCTTGAGTTTCAAGAGTTTGCTGTCAGCTCTCCTCCTTGTGCGATTGACCTCAATGGTTCGTCTCTTTTTGGGTGCAGCCATCCACAGGATACCATCAAGGAATCCAGGGGGTTTGTCAGGACACTCTGCCTGCTCCTCAAACTCTTGCTCATTGTTGAGGTGAGGCAAAACGCTTGAGCCGTATACAGACAAGGCTGGAGCTACACACAATTACAATAAATGTAATTAATTATAACACTACAGACATTCTTCAATCAATAACAGTTGGAATACCAGTTTATGTGCACACTCTTGCAACATAAAGCACGCAAAGATGAAGTGAAGCCAACAGAGGACAGATTGTTTTATCATTACAAACAACATGCAAAAAGCATGCAGTGGTAATGATTATTTAATGAATATACTACTTTACGAATAATTATTATTATTTTTTATTTGTTTATTTGAGCAATCTTAGTATGAACATGTTACATACATATATACAGAATAATGATGTAACAAATAAGCACATACATCAGTGCTGAGTGCTTGAGAGTTCTATACATTTGAGTGTTTAAAGATACAAAAAAGGTTAGATTACTAATTATTAGACACAAGATGATTTTTTATAGTCCTAATACCGATGTATAGAACTTTAAACCCCCTCAATAACATTGTCAATTTAGTTAGATTATTCATCTGGAATTATTCTCAATTGACCTTTAGGGATGATAACAATATTCATTATGAGCAATTGGACATTATGACTAATGTTTGTGAACTGAAGAATCATATACTCTAGTATACAAAATCCAAACGATATCTTTTATATAATATCAAATAATACCTTCAATATTAGCCTCCAACCTGCCATCATACATAACGTTACTGCTTCACCTTACATGAAATGTGTCTTTTGTTAATGGAACATTGCATTTTGGCTACTAGATAACTTATAAAATATAGAATGACATGCATAAAGACAATCTCCCTTCCCTAAATAACCAATGACCATGGTACAGACTGTGTGACCCAGTCAACGGATCAGAACATGAGTTGACGTACCCAGGCTTCTCTGGAGTCCTGCTACTTCCAGCAAACGACTTTCAATATGGAGTAAAGACAATCTCAGGCTCTGCACTAAAGAGGCTAGGTTTATCATGTTTAAAGACATGTGACATTCATACATGCACTAAAAAGACTGATGCGCCACTCGAAACCTTCGAGACGTCAATACCATGCGACGAAACCACTCTTCTTCTCTTTTCCATAAAAATAAACTGTGGTTAGCAGCGCCCCCTGTTGGTCGTAGCTCTAAATAGTTTAACTTGTGATAACTTCCCAACCATGGATCACAATACTTAACTTAGCCTAAAAATAAAGGTTTACATTTGTACTACCATACTGTTGTTATTTTCAAATAATTATCCAAATATTGCATTATTATTTTTCGAAGAGCCAGTGGGTGGCGGTATTGCTACGTGGCTGGCACGCACTCGATCAGAAGTAGAAGAGTCGTCATGGCGGACCGAGGATACAGTTTTTCCCTCACTACATTCAGGTAAACTTGTATCGAATAACTTTCATGTTCACTCTCTGCGTTCTATACTTGATCATGGTAGACGTTGTTAGTCACTGTTTATCTTTTACATGTGTTAAATCTTGCATGCGTCTGAATTGGTATTGTTTTCGTAGCAGGTAGCGTTGATGCACAGTCATTCCCCGGTGAATGAGCTAACATTAGCATAGCTGCAAACTCATACAAAGCGAAACCAACATGATGCTTTATAAAACTCTGTTTATACCATATCTTTTACATAGCATGACTTTAGTTGTGATATCGTAATCTGATTCGTCGATATTAGTGTTTTCTATTTGGTTTATATTTGGATAGATGGTGGCGCCTTTTCGAGAGATGGTGCCTATCTGACACCGAGGTGAAGTTAGCCGAACGTTTGATATTCGCCTGATATTCGAACAAAATCCCCCTGGATTCAAAGTCTGTCCGTATTTTCAGTTTAGTGAAGAGTGTAGTATTAAATACTGTTCACAATGTTGCCACCTATATAAAAAAAACTTTACTTAGGCTGCAGCTGACGATTTATAACACGAAAAACAATGAAGATGAAGTCTCCGCTCGTACGTGTGATAAGCTCTCAACAAGGGACCGTCTGCAAAGTGCAAGATTTGACAGAACGTTGCAGATGGGTTGGTGAATACAATAAAAACTGCTTTTAAAAAGTAGTTTTCCCAGTTTTGATGGGTGTAATAGCTCCATTTGAACAATAGCTAGCTACTACAGGCAAGAATTTGGGAAAAATATGGTTTTCCCCTTCACAGTAACAAAAATGAAATTGGAAAAATTTACTAAAAATCAACAAAGACAGTTTTCCCAGTTTTGATGGGTGTAGTAGCTCCATTTGAGCAATAGCTAGCTACTACAGGCAAGAATTTGGGAAAAATATGGTTTTCCCCTTCACAGTAACGAAAATTAAATTGGAAAAATTCACTAAAAATCAACAAAGATATTTTTCCAAAATTTGATGGGTGTAGTAGCTCCCATTCAATGATAGCTAGCTACTACAGGCAAGAATTTGGGAAAAATATGGTTTTCCCCTTCACAGTAACAAAAATGAAATTGGAAAAATTTACTAAAAATCAACAAAGACAGTTTTCCCAGTTTTGATGGGTGTAGTAGCTCCATTTGAGCAATAGCTAGCTACTACAGGCAAGAATTTGGGAAAAATATGGTTTTCCCCTTCACAGTAACAAAAATGAAATTGGAAAAATTCACTAAAAATCAACAAATTTTTTTTCCCAAATTCTTGCCTGTAGTAGCTAGCTATTGTTCATTGGGAGCTACTACACCCATCAAAACTGGGAAAACTGTCTTTGTTGATTTTTAGTGAATTTTTCCAATTTCATTTTCGTTACTGTGAAGGGGAAAACCATATTTTTCCCAAAAGTTTGGCTGTAGTAGCTAGCTATCATTGAATGGGAGCTACTACACCCATCAAATCTGGGAAAAAAGTCTTTGTTGATTTTTAGTGAATTTTTCCAATTTCATTTTTGTTACTGTGAAGGGGAAAACCATATTTTTCCCAAATTCTTGCCTGTAGTAGCTAGCTATTGCTCAAATGGAGCTACTACACCCATCAAAACTGGGAAAACTGTCTTTGTTGATTTTTAGTAAATTTTTCCAATTTCATTTTCGTTACTGTGAAGGGGAAAACAATATGTTTCCCAAAAGTTTGGCTGTAGTAGCTAGCTATCATTGAATGGGAGCTACTACACCCATCAAATCTGGGGGAAAAGTCTTTGTTGATTTCTAGTACATTTTTCCAGTTTCATTTTCGTTACTGTGAAGGAGAAAACAATATTTTTCCCAAATTCTTGCCTGTAGTAGCTAGCTATTGTTCATTGGGAGCTACTACACCCATCAAATCTGGGGGAAAAGTCTTTGTTGATTTTTTAGTACATTTTTCCAATTTCATTTTTGTTACTGTGAAGGGGAAAACCATATTTTTCCCAAAATCTTGCCTGTAGTAGCTAGCTATTGCTCAAATGGAGCTACTACACCCATCAAAACTGGGAAAACTGTCTTTGTTGATTTTTAGTAAATTTTTCCAATTTCATTTTCGTTACTGTGAAGGGGAAAACAATATTTTTCCCAAATTCTTGCCTGTAGTAGCTAGCTATTGTTCATTGGGAGCTACTACACCCATCAAAACTGGGAAAACTGTCTTTGTTGATTTTTTTGTAAATTTTTCCAATTTCATTTTTGTTACTGTGAAGGGGAAAACCATATTTTTCCCAAAAGTTTGGCTGTAGTAGCTAGCTATCATTAAATGGGAGCTACTACACCCATCAATTCTGGGAAAAATATCTTTGTTGATTTTTAGTCTTTATTAGTCGTTTTGACCTCTTGCAATTTGCAGACGGTCCCTTGCGAATATCAGGCGAATATCAAACGTACGTCTATTTGTGAACCATTCCATTGTAGATTTTGCTTTATGTTTTGGATCATTGTCCTGTTGGAAGATAAATCTCCGTCCCAGTCTCAGGTCTTTTGCAGACTCCAACAGGTTTTCTTCCAGAATGGTCCTGTATTTGGCTCCATCCATCTTCCCATCAATGTTAGCCATCTTCCCTGTCCCTGCTGAAGAAAAGCAGGCCCAAAGCATGATGCTGCCACCACCATGTTTGACAGTGGGGATGGTGTGTTCAGGGTGATGAGCTGTGTTGCTTTTACGCCAAACATATCGTTTTGCATTGTGGCCAAAAAGTTAGATTTTGGTTTCATCTGACCAGAGCACCTTCTTCAACATGTTTGGTGTGTCTCCACGAGACTTTTTATGGATATCTTTGAGAAATGGCTTTCTTCTTGCCACTCTTCCATAAAGGCCAGATTTGTGCAGTGCACAACTGATTGTTGTCCTATGGACAGACTCTCCCACCTCAGCTGTAGTTATCTGCAGTTCATCCAGAGTGATCATGGGCCTCTTGGCTGCATCTCTGATCAGTCTTCTCTTTGTTTGAGATGAAAGTTTGGAGGGACGGCCGGGTCTTGGTAGATTTGCAGTGGTCTGATACTCCTTCCATTTCAATATAATTGCTTGCACAGTGCTCCTTGAGATGTTTAAAGCTTGGGAAATCTTTTTGTATCCAAATCCGGCTTTAAACTTCTCCACAACAGTATCTCGGACCTGCCTGGTGTGTTCCTTTGTCTTCATGGTTCTCTCTGCGCTTTAAACAGAACCCTGAGACTATCAAAGAGCAGGTGCATTTATACAGAGACTTGATTACACACAGGTGCATTCTATTTATCATCATCAGTCATTTAGGACAACATTGGATCATTCAAAGATCCTCACTGAACTTCTGGAGTGAGTTTGCTGCACTGAAAGTAAAGGGGCCGAATAATATTGCACGCCCCACTTTTCAGTTTTTTGTTTGTTAAAAAAGTTAAAATTCTCCAATAAATTTTGTTCCACTTCACGATTGTGTCCCACTTGTACAGTAGTTGATATATTTTTTTTATATCTTTATGTTTGAAGCCTGAAATGTGGCAAAATGTTGAAAGGTTCAAGGGGGCCGAATACTTTCGCAAGGCACTGTATATAAATGCGCTATATAAATAATCATTACTCATTAATCATTACTCATTACTCGAGAGGGCAAGGCACCTTTTTCCGGTCAGGCATCATGGCCTCGGATTTGGAGGTGCTGATTCTCATTCCAGCCGCTTCACACTCGTCTGCAACCGTCACAGTGCATGTTGCAGGTCCTGGTTCCTTGGAGCCAACAGGACAACATCGTCGGCAAACAGCAGAGATGAAATCCTGTGGTCTCCGAACCGGACCCCCTCCGGCCCCTGGCTGCACCTACAAATTCTGTCCATTATGACAGTAAACAGAAGCGGTGAAAAAGGGAAGCCTGCGCCTGCCGGCAATGCAAATACAGCTCTGGTAGAGGACAATAATGAAGTCATGAATCCAGTGAAATTAGTCGCACACCTTTTTACAGTAAGAAGTTACAGTAGATCAAAAGTGACATGTTTTGACTATTTTGGAGGTATGTTGGACCAAAATGGCTACTTTAAATCAATATTTCTCAATATTTCTACAGTAAAAGTTTCTGGTCTTTGGTACAGTGGTAGAGGGCAATCATGACGTCATGAATCCAGTGAAATTTGTCGCACACCTTTTTACAGTAAAAAGTTACAGTAGATCAAAAGTGACATGTTTTGACCATTTTTAGTTTATTTTGGACCAAAATGGCTAGTTTAAATCAATATTTCTCAATATTTCTACAGTAAAAGTTTCTGGTCTTTGGTACAGTGGTAGAGGGCAATCATGACGTCATGAATCCAGTGAAATTAGTTGCACACCTCTATACAGTAAAAAGTTACAGTAGATCAAAAATGACATGTTTTGACCATTTTTTGGATACTTTGAACCAAAATGGCTACTTTAACTCCATATTTCTCCAAATGTCTACAGTAAACGTTTCTGGTCTTTGGCACAGTGGTAGAACATAATAATGAGGACATAAATCCATTGAAATGAGTCACACACCTTTTTACAGTAAATAGTTACAGTAGATCAAAAGCGGAAATGTTTTTACAGTTTTGTGTATTTTGCACTAAAGTGTACTTTGTCTCAATTTTACCCAACATTTCCACAGTAAAGGTGTGTGGTTGTAGGCACAGCGTTGAAGGCAGCTATATCGAGGTCATGAACCCAGTGGAATAAGCCACACAAGTCTTTACTGTAAAAATGGACAGCTGCTGAAAATTTCACTTTTTGACCAAATTAAATGCTTTCCAAATATGGGTGTATTCACAAAAACGAGTCTCCTCAGCGCGCTTTCTGTTCGAGGAGAAAAGGTGACTCCGAAAGGCTGTACCGCCATTACCGTAAGTAGTCAACAAAACGCGCAGTTTTTCTCTCGATGCGGGCCGTTTTACTTCGGAGGTGAAAGATGCGGCCCACTTTACCGCGGTTGTAAAAAGGAGACCCAGCTCTGTCTGCTGCCGGCAGAGCGATCTTCAACGTTTAAAGCCATCATGACTTCTGTACAGTATGTGAATTATAAAGATTATGTTCTGCCTCCAGTGGCTCACACTGAGGAGAGTCTGGAGTATGCTGAAAACTTCTCAGTGAAGGACACGGATGTGTTTGCTGTGACTTTTCCCAAATCAGGTAGATTTCTGTTTTAGTTTGAAAAGCTGCAATGTTATAGTCTTTTTATTTCAGTCCTTCAGCTGACATTATGTAATACTACTATGCCTGTTGTCAGCCTAAACTTTTTCGTGTAATTGTACCGCGCAACTATTTGTATTTAATAGTTTAATATATTTGACAATAAAGGAGGTCTAACAATGGTTGTTTCTACCACTGTCAAAGCTCTGATTTAACTGTTCTGGCGTTCTTGGAGAGTTTGGAATCACTCATGTTGGCTCATGCCTTTCACATTTTTTTTATTGCAGCATTCATGAATCTCTAGGATGCATTGTATTAAAATGTAGCATTGTAATACGTTTAGCGCTCCTCTCCCAGTGATCATTACACTGTGTTGTTATTCATACAGCTGCCTCCTGAGCGACAACACCGCTGCCCTGGGGTATTTATATATACATTCTATGCCTGGGGTAGACTGATGGATATTGTGCCATTGATCCCTTCGACCAGCACCGATTTCGTTAATTCGGCATTCAGAGCCTCGACCTCTCCAGACAATATGTTAGCCTCATGGTCCCATAGAATTATAATATCATGTTCTGCATTTGTAACTCGCCATACGGTGACACCTGGTATGAGAGGTCTCCCATCCCAGAACTAACCAGCCCCCACGTGACGAAGTTTTGGAACTCTGACAACACCGCTTATACATGTTTTATAATTCCAGGTTGCTTTGCTGCTCATAGTGATGATGATTCAACGATTATAAAAATAGACAACGTAATATGGTTTTGTGTCGATCAGGATTAGGACTATTGTTAATGTTGAAATCATTGATTAAACAAAAGACACGCGCCTGTTACACCGCATTATGGCTTAAAGGTGCGTACAAGTACAAGTGTATACAGTCTGAAGCACATCTGATTCTTAAACGATTTCATGTCAAGGCGTGACTTTGGCACCGGGTACTGGCGCCCTCTTGTGGACTCCGCACTAACTGCACTAAAGCAGCTGCGCAGGTCAGAGACAGAGCCCGCACTCGGACGCCACGATGTCTCGGGATGAACTGTCCCTTCAGTATCACGGGCTGTTTCTGCCCAAAGAGACGCACTCACAGGACAGCCTCAAGTTTGCGGAGGACTTTAAGTTTGAAGACAGTGACGTAATAGCTGTGACGTTCCCAAAGTCAGGTCAGTCCGTGCGACCCATTCCTCTCTTCTGTCATGTGTCAATCTGTAACATCGTATAATAAATAGTCAATCACTTCAATCCGCCGTTTCTTATGCAGTCGTAATGCAGCTTGGATTTAGTCAATTCCAGGTTGAAAAGTTCTCAATATCCTCGCATTTGCGCGACTATTTGTATAATTAAATGCAAACTTCAACCGTATTTATTTACGATCCCATCGAATGGTTAATCCGTGGGCATGACCGAGAAAATGGAAAAGTCTCCTCATCCAGTGGTTAACTTTCCATTTTCTAAAATTCCTCTCTGGAATGTTCAGGCTCTGTCCAGAAAATGGGCTGGTTAAAGGGAAAGGGAAAAAAGAGAAAGACATCGTTTTAGTTTTTATGAACTCCTAAATGGGTTTAGGCATTGGAGAGCCAACATCAAAGGTTTAGGTTAAAGTACTATTGGCCTAACTGAATTTGTTTTGTTGATGCAGGTACAGTGTGGATGCAGGAGATCCTCCCCCTGATCCTTAATGAAGGAGACCTGACCCCAGTGCAGACCATCCCAAACTGGGACCGGGTGCCTTGGCTGGAGGAGACTCGCTTAGCGCTCGTAATGGACCAGCTCAAATCTCCACGTGCTCTGGTCACACATTTCCTGTATGACCTGATGCCTGCCTCCTTTCACCAGTCCAAGGCAAAGGTAAATAGGCAAACAGTGTGTTAGAGAGGAGTGAAGGGTCCTATTGTACATGCTTGTTGCAGATATCTAAGATTCCAGTTTTAAAGTGGACAGCCATGTAGACGTGAACAATTGAGGTGGTCACAGTGACTGCTAATTAAATTGCTATCAATGTGTTCAGTAGTAGTACTATAGCAGCAGCAGCAGCCACTCAGTAGTCTACTCAGACCAGCTAAGCAACAAAACAAGTAATAATTATAAAAAATAAATGAAAGTGAAAGCCTTCCTTAACCTGAAGACCACCTACTTATTATTTAATTTACGAGTAATCGTCTCTTTGTCTCTCGTAGATCATCTATGTGATGAGGAACCCCAAGGATGTCATTGTTTCATTCTATTACTTTCATCAGATGGCTGCATTTCTTGAAGATCCTGGAACTTTTGATGAGTTTTTGGACAAATTTCTTGATGGAAAATGTAATTATCTTTTGAGTTTCATTTCACACATGTTCAGGTATCATATTTTGTAGTGATGGACACATGACACCAAAGCTCCGGAGCTTTTGTAGCTCTTCCTAAAGCAGACCGCTTCAAAACACTGTGTGGGTGTGTCGAAGCGTTTTATTGGCTCAATGAGTTTCCCGGCTTCACATTGGTTCAGATGGTTCACATTGGTTCAGATGGTTCACATTGGTTCAGATGGTTCACATTGGTTCAGATGGTTCACATTGGTTCAGATGGTTCACATTGGTTCAGATGGTTCACATTGGTTCAGATGGTTCAGCTTTCAGTGGATAGGCGCAGTATAAATGATGTATCAATGTTTGTGAACAGTGTTGTGTCGTGAGGAGACAGTCATTTTTTTGACTTTTGGTGACTTTGAGTCATCTGCAAGTGGAGAATTGAGATCCAAGGTTAGGGATAATTTTTGGTGTGCTACAGGGCTTCCTCTGCCCATCTCTGATATTTTGTAATCATTTCATGTGTTTTTTAGTGGCGTTTGGGAAATGGACAGATCATGTAAAAAGCTGGAGGAAGCCTGAGCTGGGAGATCGCATCCTGTACATCACATATGAAGAAATGAAGGAGGTAATAGGAAACCATGACAACACAGTTGCAATATCCTTACAGTTTCACGTCTGACAGGACCTGCCCACTGCTCTGAGGAAGATCTCCAGATTCTTGGGGAAGAATTTGAGAGAGGAAGTAATCCAGAAGATTGCAGAAAACTGCAGCTTCACTGTCATGAAGAACAACCCTATGTCCAACTTCAGTTTAGTGCCTAAAGTGTACATGGATTCTGACAAGTCCCCGTTTCTGAGAAAAGGTCAGCAGAAACAATATTAGATAAACACTTACAACTAGTTAAGCCGGTGTGTGGCAAAACCAGAACTATTTTGTGTATAAGTGATTTAGCAGCAAACTGATTTCTCATTTTCTTGTCTTATACAAATTAAACCATGGAAATGGCACACAATATTTGCACACACTCTTCAGCATCTGGATTGATAAATGTAAACGTAGTGAGATTCTGATTCTCAAGGGCAGAAACAGTTGCGGCTCAGAGATTTGTTATCCATGAAACCTGAGGCCCTTTGATGATTACACTTTTGCCTGGTGAGGTTGAGTGCATCAGATCTCTTTGGATCGCTGCCTTCCACAGACCATGATGTCCTTTTTGACCGGCTTTCTATAAAGTGTTATTTACTTTCATTCCATCACTGAGAATCTTCAAAGTTTCTCAAACTGTGGCTCGTAAACAATCCAAGCTGGCTGTACTGTGTGAACTACATGTTTATGTTGATGTCCTTGTTATTGTCTGTGTTGTCACGTTGTAATGTCCGGCATCTTATGGGTTCATGTTGCTGCTTTTACCAACATCTGCCGTTTAGTCTCTATGTTGCTTTTTTTTTTTGGTTTGTAGTTGGCTGTAACATCAACCTGCCATGGGATTATCAATCAAGCAATCAATCTTTATTTGTAGAGTGCCTTTCATACACAGGGCAACACAAAGCACTTCACAGTCCACATCACCAAAGGCACAAATCATCACATAAGACAAAAACCAGAACCACCATTAAAACTTTAAAATCACACAAGGAATTAAAGAATAAATAACCACAGAGCATTAAAAATACAGATAGAATCCTTCAGTTTTATGCACATGCAAACAGAACAGTCTTTAACCTGGAATTGAACATTGTCAGAGTAGATGCCTCTCTCACATTTTCAGGGAGACTGTTTTCCAGATTTTAGCTGCATAAATCTGAAATGCAGCCTCCCCATGGATGGGAACAACCCTTCATGGTTAATTCTGGAGTAAACTTTTTGATTATTGTTCACTGTCCTAACAAATAATACCAAAAATATGACAATTGTGTGAGAGAGTCAAGAATAAAAGCTTGTAGATCATTCCGGATGCATAAGAGAAGCCATCCCATATCAAAATAATCAATTACAATATGGTAATTTCGTCTTAAATTCTTTATGGCATTAATCATAACGCTTGTATTGCAGGTGTTGCTGGAGATTGGAAAAATCACTTTACATCCGAGCAGCTGAGTCATTTAAACTCTGTCATCACCAAAGAGCTGGACGGCTTCACTTTGCCCTGGAGCCTGAACTGACCCCGATCATCCCTGTTTAGTATGACTGTAATTTATTTAGCGTGTACTTTTTCTACTTTTCTTTGCAATAATCCACACAGTTTGTTCATTCATTTCTTTCAAAAACATGGGTCAATAAACCAAGAATATGCTTCACAATCCTGTTGCATATTTTTCGGTCAGATAAGTGGTGTCAGCTGCTTGTAGATCAAAGTTAGGGATAGAGTGAGTTTAGTTTGCACCATCCTAGGCGTTGGTACATGGCTGAAGCGTGACTCTGGGGCATGGAGATTTGCTCAACAAGTCACAACATGCCAACAAAAGCGCTCGGCAAAGGAATGTCCTCATACTAACATAACATCAGCCGCCAAAACACATTTGTCATATTTCGCCGTAATTCTAAAGCATTTGTATTAGAAAAAAAGATGTTGAAATAGAAAGAGAACAACATGTAAAGTATTTTGATTTTGTCACTTTTTATGTAGGTCACACTCAGTAACCAGTTGTTTAATATTACTGTAGGTACCACTGCTAGCTTTCTGTAACCTGACCAGACACAACCATGCCACTTTTACACAAATATAAATTATTTACAAATTTGTATGTCAAAATGTAAAAGGGCCTGGCTGACAACTTTCAGGGACAGACCTACCAAACGGGATTGTCTTGTTCTCGATTATCAAAGAAAAAGGATTAAGTACATGCCATCACAATATGCGGGTAGAAAACTTATCTGGTCTGAATAGCCCCCTAAGGGCAAATCAGTTCATGTCGCTGACAAGAGCAAGAAAAAAACAATCACAGTCACAAACAAAAGAAAAATGTATAAAGTGACACTAACTTAAGGGTAAAGAATGCTATCGCCCTGCCCTATCCCTTTGCTACCAGTTGTAGCATTTGTGGGGTTTTTTTCCAAACGTGGAAATTACCAGCTGCAAACACAGACATGTGATTGTAAAGAAAGGAATTTCACCTGAGAAATTACCAAAATTAATTTATGGACAATACTTTTGTTTTATTTTTTTATATATATATATATATATATATATATATATATATATATATATATATATATATATATATATATATATATAGAAATGTATGTATATATATATATATAGAAATGCTCGAGAAATGTAGCAGGATGGTGACTCGGAGAGGCAAGGTAGTCCACACAGAAGGGATCTCACTCCCAGAGGGAACAATAGCAGACGTTGAGGACAGTTACAAGTATCTCGGTATACCACAGGCAAATGGCAACCTCGAACAGGTGACGAGGAAAGCGGCAACTGCCAAATACCTCCAGCGAGTAAGGCAGGTCCTAAGAAGCCGGCTCAATGGCAAGAACAAGGCCCGGGCAATTAACAGCTACGCCCTGCCAGTGATCAGATACCCTGCAGGAATAATCAGGTGGCCAAAGGAAGAGATTCAGACCACGGATGTTAAAACTCGAAAGCTCCTTACCATGCATGGCGGGTTCCATCCCAAATCCAGCACCCTGAGACTGTACGTAAGCCGTAAAGAAGGAGGCCGAGGACTAGTGAGTGTGAGAGCCACTGTCCAGGACGAAACATCCAAACTCCATAACTACATCATGGAGAAGGCCAAAACGAATGACGTACTCAGTGAATGTCTCAGGCAGTGGCGAGATGAGAAGGTGCTGGAGGAGAGCCCATCATGGGAGAACAAGCCCCTACACGGCATGTACCACCGGAGCATAACAGAAGTGGCTGATCTCAAGAAGTCCTACCAATGGCTTGAAAGGGCTGGCCTACAGGACAGCACAGAGGCGCTCATCATGGCTGCACAGGAGCAGGCCCTGAGCACCAGAGCGATAGAGGCCCAGATATACCACACCAGACAAGACCCAAGGTGTCGGTTGTGCAAAGAGGCACCTGAGACGATCCAACACATAACTGCAGGGTGCAAGATGCTGGCAGGGAAGGCCTACATGGAACGCCATAACCAAGTGGCTGGCATAGTGTACAGAAACATCTGTGCAGAGTATGGGCTGGAAACCCCAAGGTCTAAGTGGGAAACTCCTCCAAAGGTGGTGGAGAATGAGCGTGCAAAGATCCTGTGGGACTTCCAGATACAGACCGACCGAATGGTAATGGCAAACCAACCTGACATCGTGGTGGTAGACAAAGGGCAGAGGACAGCCGTGGTGGTGGACGTGGCAATTCCAAGCGATGGTAACATCCGGAAAAAAGAACATGAAAAGCTTGAGAAATACCAAGGTCTCAGAGAGGAGCTGGAGAGGGCCTGGAGGGTAAAGGTGACAGTAGTGCCCGTGGTGATCGGTGCACTCGGGGCAGTGACCCCGAAGCTAGATGAGTGGTTACAGCGGATCCCCGGAACAACCTCGGACATCTCGGTCCAGAAATGTGCAGTGCTAGGAACAGCAAAGATACTGCGCAGAACCCTCAAGCTCCCAGGCCTCTGGTAGAGGACCCGAGCTTAGAGAGGGATAACCGCCCGCGGAGGGCCAAAGGTGAGTGGACAATTTTTAAACTAAATGTATGTATGTATGTGTATATATATATATATATATATAAACTAAATGTATGTACGTACGTACATACATACATACATACATACTAGTTACTGGGATGCACATATTACTGATTTTAAAATTTCACAACTTTAAGTTACTTTAGTGCCAAAAAGCCAAACTATCACAGCGATAGTGTTCAAATGACATAGGTCTAAGTTTTATTTCAAACACTAAAAGCTATATTGATCATGACGGTTTCCTCATATTAAGGCTAGGGTGAGAAAAAGCAAATGTGGATAACATTAAGTTTGCTTACTTTGATTGCAACTAAAATCACCTGAAATATAGAATTGTCTATCCTTCCTATCATTTAGCCTTCTGGCAGATAAACTGGAGTTTCTTTGAACAATCTGTGAACGAGATGCGGCCGGTAGTTTTGGAGAAGGTCCCACAGCTGCTGAGGTGATCGGGACAATGTGGTAATCCTTCAATGACTGTCACCGGCTCTCCTTTCATCCACCACCACTGACCCCCCAGGAACCGCAGGCCTATCCACACCTGCAGCAACAGAAGTCAACTCACATATTAGTTCATTAAGGATGAATACATTATAAAAACAGAACAGAATAGAGACTATGATTGATAACACAAGGTATTTTACCTTTCCACTCATTGTTAGTGGTTGTGTGAAGCCATTTATGGTCAAACGGTATGATCTATTTTCAAATTATAACGTAATTGAGCCACTCCAGTCCTCGCAAGGTAGCCCAGGAATTTACATGAAGTGGAAGAATGGCTATACCAGCAGAAGACAAACTCCACAACTTCCACTCAGCTAGACTCACTAGAGCCACTGCTTGTTCGCTTTGAGAGCTGAAGAGGCCTCTAGATGCCTATTCCAGGCTGTCCCACTGGGAGGAGACCCTGCGGGGACGACCCAGGACAGGGTGGAACACTGTAAAGAATAGCTTGCAAATATGGTTCCAGGAATTTACTGTTTTCTCAACATGCCATTACCGTAGCTAATTTTAACGGTTAAAGACTGTTTCACTGAATCACATTATGCCTTTGTGATTTCAGGATTTTACTGTATGTTCCTGTTCATTCACATGCAACAAAAACACTGGATGTTTTTTAACCAATTTATACTTAAATTTGCGTGTTTGAATTGTTTTTCAAAATAACATTTGTTTAATGTTGAAATTTCATTGTAATTATACCGAAATTTGTTAGTGAAGGACTGCTGGCCTGGGAAATCCTTGGGAGCATGGATAGTGAAGTCTCCACAGATAGAGTCTGCTTAGATTTCTACCCCGTGACACGGCAACGGACAAAGCGGAAGAAACTGCTGTGGTTCACACAGCCACTCACATTGTGTTCCTGTGTTATCAATCATAATAAAATCTAAAATAGAAACTTGTTCTTACCTCATCAGTCACATTATTGATCCTCTTTCTCACATGGCTGTAATCAGACTGACCGCTCAACGTCACAAGGTCATGTTGCAGCGTACATTTCTGCTGGCCATTATTCACCGTGCATTGTTTCTTCAGACTCCTGCAGTGCTCGAGTGCCTCCTCCCAGGTCTTCCTCTCGTGCACGACCGTCAGTTTGTCCACAAAACAGACGACATTCATGTGGGTGTCGCACGGGAAGCTCTGCCACTTTTGCTCCATTGCATTAAACGCTCCACAGTCATTAGTTACTGGTTCATCGTCGGCCCATTCAGTGTATTGTGCATCTTCTCCCTCAGCCCACATCCATGTGTCACCCCCAACTCTATAAAGGCCGATCCAGCCAAACACACCTATGCCACTTTTAAAATACCCATTTCCATTGGCTTCATGTTTGGTGATGGTGGGTAAGTCGCCCCCATCGTTATCTTGGCACACCTTTCGAGCTTCATGCCAGGAGAGATTGGTCAAATGGTAGGTTATGCCATGTGTTGTGGAGCAAAAGAAGGGATGTTTTTCAGCACATTTTCTGCTGGACCAGGTGTTGTTAGTGTTATAATATGCACAGTGGTTGCTATTTCCGTTGTCAAACCAATTAAGAGTCTTGGAGAAATCACCGGAGGTTGGATCAACAATTCTGAAAATAATATAAATACATACGTTTTTAAACATGACAACTGAAATTAGTTCAGCCAATTCATCCTTCCAATATATCTCAATAGGCCCAATGAGCTGGAAAGTTCTTAGGTCATCGTCACTGAGCAGCAGGACGGACTAGAATCAAATCATTTCGTTTTAAAATGTCAAATAGTAGCTGTGTGAGCCTCTGCTTGACGATATCTCGTTTCAATTTCTGACACAAAGTCACAAAAGTTGAATGTGTTCTTTTTCATTTTTTATTGAATTATTATAAACTATGATTTTATATTTGTTGTGTGGTACATACTTGGTGTCGAGCCAGTGCCAGACTGAGTCGTTGTGTGCGTCCCTCTGCAGACCCATCCAGACCATGGTCAGACCTGCAGTCACCGAAGTCAGAGTGGACTGAGACATTATGTCCAACGTCAACATGTCAGTGTAGCCGGACCTGCACTCTTCAGACGCTTCTGACCAGCTCAAATACAGAGGCTGACCAGAGTAGTCATCCACTGCCACGTAATAGTTAAGAACCCAAGCGTGTGAGGCTGAAATCACTGCACCGAAGAGCAAAAGGAGCAGTGCCTCCATAGTGACTGTCCATCAGTCAAGTCAGAAACCTCTGCCCCCTAGTTATTTTATACATGCACTCTGACTCCTCCCATCATGCAATAGAGTCATTACACTGGCTTTGTTTGTTTAATTAGACAAATGCATTTGATACAATCTAATGGCCTAATTTGATGGCTGTCAAATGTTGTTATTTTGAATAGATTTTTCATTATTGCAATTACTGTTTTATGCAAAGATAGGATATTGAGGGTTTTTTTCTTCCTGTAACTTTATTTAAGTTGCATTCAAATACATCATATTCACTAGATAAGCATTCTTAGATGTGTTGTTTTTATTAGTGTTTATTCTTTATTATACCAATTATGGTTTATAGCATGAATTATGTGCAATTTGTTCTTGGAAACCATTCATGCTTCATTTCCATTAATCAGTTTGTTACCAAAAGCATTTGCCTTTTGTCCAGTGTCTGACGCACATGCAAAACACAAGCAAATCGTGCAGACTCTAAACTTCTGGAGACGCATTCAAATGATCAATATTCAAAACTGTCTCTGTCCTGGTCCTCATGCTCCAGCTGCAAAAGCGGCCCAGTCAAAGCAATGCATTTACATGTCTTTAAGAGCTCATCACTCTGACTGTGGACTGACCATCAGACTGACTGTGGTTAGTTTACTGGAAAAGCATAATGAAAAACAATTCACTTGTTGATTTCCACCTCTCAGGTGGAGCATTATTTTAGATGGTTCCCAGGTAGATACAAAACTTGAATTTCACTTGAAACCTGACCATGTGATGGTTTATTTACCGGTGATCTATTGCTGTGCAAAAACGCTGCAGACCAGTTTCCTCCCAGGCAAAGTTTGAGGCTACCAGAGGTTTCCAAAATACTCTCTTCCCCTTTGAAATCAAGTTTCACTTGGTTTAATCAATACTAGCGCAGGCTCTAAAGCACAGGTGTCAAAGTCAAGGCCCGGGGGCCAGATCCGGGCCGTGAGACCATTTCCAGTGGCCCCTGAGACAAATTTAAATTATTATATTGTGAGATTTCATAACACTTTAAGCAACTTTTGTTATAGTTAAACTCATCATTCTATCAATGTGCAGAAGTACTGTACTTTTCCACTTCATGTTTTGTCTATCTGAAGGCCAAGCTACAAGCACACCGTAGAAGCTGCTGATTGGAGGTCTCCATGCCTCCGCTCTGTATAATACACTTGCATTCTGTGTTCGTGCTTTGTTCGTGCTGTCTCTACCATCGACAATAAAACATGTCTTCTGTCTGAACGAAAGACCCGATCCCAGACTATGTCATCTTCTTCAATATTAATTAGCAGCCTTGTTGGTAATGGCGTGTTATCAATTAATAATTTTCTCAAGAAAACAACCATAACATTTAATTCCATAAGAAATGTTAAGCCAACATGTAATGAGAAGTTAATATTGTTATGTTTTTTTTTTTTTTACGAGTCTTCAGTTGGGAGGACCAATAGTCTTGATGATCCACCCAAGAATCTTCCTCGGGTGAAAAAAAAAAAATTTGGTCCAGTTTTAGTTTAGTTCCTGAACTAAGTCGATCAGAAAAGAATATCCAATTTAACTAATGTGAAACAAGTCATTTATATAGATACTTTCATATTATAAAAAAAGTATAATAAATGAAACCCACTTCTCTGGGCCCCTGATCAGCCCTTTAATTTTTTTTTGGCCCTCAACCAAAATGAGTTTGACACCCCTGCTCTAAAGTGTCATTCAAGCTGAAGAAACGATAGATGGCGTCACAGGTGTGATAGTCTTCTCTTAACATAGCTACGCTTGGGGCTGGCTCATACTTTAATCAGAGCAGTGTTAGACCAACTAAAGTCAGTAAAGAACAAGGAAGCAGTTTTAACAATTCTGATCAAGAGCACTCTTAAATAAATTCCATTTAACTAGTACTCAATCTATCATCGCATACATTCGCTGTTGAGACAAACAACAACAAAATCATGTTATTTATGAAAAAATATTAGGTTTCAAGTAAAAGCGAACTGAGACCTGTAGTTAAACCAGTACCCCCTTAGCCTCTCAGGGAGTCATTGTGCCACACAAATGCTCCAGAAATAAAGCAGAGACATGTATTTTTGAAGTTTTTTTTATTTTGTTTCGTTAATCATAAGCGTTACAGTAGCTCTCGCCCTCCTTCTGCCTGTGATAAGCTTTAAACACACCAACAGGAAGATGGTTACAGCAGTTTCATCGCCCAGACGACACATCGAGTGGCAGTAGGAGGTGGATGGGCACACGGACACAGATACTCTCACTAACTTATCGTCTCTTAAAGAAACAAGACATAAACTGAGAACACTCAAAAACACTGGTGTGAGCTCTACTTTTACAATCGTAGAGCTTAACTGTGATGCTATTCTGTGTTATGGGCGGCGCAGGTCTAAAACAGAAGGAAAGTGGGCAAAACATGAGGTGGTCCCTTTCCTTGGTTTCCCGCTGAAACCTCTACTCTTTTGAATACATGTAGAGCATCAGGTCAGCGACACGGTGGCTGTAGCCAAACTCATTATCGTACCTGCAAGAAGATGTCACAAATCCATCAATAATGTTTTACTTTATGATAAAAAGTACAGACAGTTAACACTTACCAAGTAATAAGTTTGACAAAGTTATCATTGAGAGAGATTCCAGCACCAGCATCAAAGATGGAGGAGTGAGTGTCACCAATGAAGTCAGAGGACACCACCTACAGATTAAACATTGTCAATATATTTCATTGACACCGCAAAAGAGCTTTGTCTACATGTTTTCCTTTGAAATGACCCGCCCTCAAAGTTATGTTTAAAATAACTTATTTCATTAAATCAAATTGTGCACACAAGATTCTGTATGCACAAGTATCTGACAATCTGATCTATAATCTATAAAGACTGAAATGAGATCTGTTTTCATGCCCAATTTTCTTCATAATTGCTTTCTTACTCTGTTTTGGCAGTGTCATTTTGGCACAGATGAAAAACTTTTCTACTGCTCTGATCAGCAATGTAATTTTCAATGTGAATGTTTCGAGACATGTTTTTGTTTTAATCAAATATTAATAATAATAATGCATCGGTTTTATATAGCGCTTTTTTGGAGACTCAAAGACGCTTCACATGTGTCATTATTCATTCACTCCATACACGGTGGTGATAAACTACTACTGTAGCCACAGCTGCCCTGGGGCACACTGACAGAAGCGAGGCAACCCCTCCGACCACCACCAACAACCATTCATACACACACCAGACGCATTCTAGGCAATGGGGGTGAAGTGTATTGCCTAAGGACACAACGGCAGTTTGGCACTTTACAGCTGGTGTTCCCAGAGGTTAAGTGTCTTGCCAAGGACACAACGACAGTAGTCAGTGGGAGTCGATGGTGAAAGTCTTGAGCAGGGCTTGAACCCACGACTTTCTGGCTCAAAGGCCAACGCGCTACCAACTGAGCTACTGCTGGTTCCAATTGAAATTAGTATTTTTAGTATTTTTTTAGTAATAGTATTTTTATGTAAATCCAGCTCCTCCAACGTGTAGTCACTGGTTTGTAGAGGTCTATTCTATCTTTATGTGGTTGAAATCTATAAAGTGGGCACTGAATATTGTAAATTCAGGAACTAATCTATTCAAAGTATTTGTTGTGATATTATTGTATGTTGATCAGGTGTAGTGGGGGTGAGGATGGGATCATCAATGACAGACAAAATACCAAACCAAACTTTTCAGGTATTTATATCATTACTAAATGGCGGACAACTGAGTTACCTGGTCATCGGTGTATCCCAGGAATCCCTTCAGAGGCCCGTGGGCGGCCTTCTTCACCGCCTCTTTGATCTCACCGTAGGACGCACCTTTGGTCAGACGGCAGGTCAGGTCCACCACTGACACGTCGGCCACTGGCACTCGGAACGCCATGCCGGTCAGCTTTCTGCACACACGATAAGACTTGTGTAGTTGCGTGTTTCATACAAGGGCTGTGATTAAGCGTTCGGTGTGGCGTTTACCCGTTGAGTTCGGGGATGACTTTGCCGACAGCTTTGGCAGCTCCAGTGGAGGCAGGGATGATGTTCTGTGCGGCTCCACGCCCGTCACGCCACGCCTTTCCACTGGGCCCATCCACGGTCTTCTGAGTGGCTGTGTATGCATGGACTGTGGTCTATAACAAAATGATTATTTATCATATGGGTTGGTTTTTGTACATTTTTATTTTCAAATGTAAACAGACACATAAAAACACATGAAGAAAATCTAAAATTAACATTAAAGCCTGTACAACTCAAAGATAAAAAAAAACTAATATAAATGCTTTCATTGGTCTATGATTTCAATGTCCATTTGAGTTTTGTATTATTTATCATCAAAAACAAACCCGAAGAAAATGACCATGGTACTGACTCACCATAAGAGCCTCCTCAATGCCAAAGTTATCGTGGATCACTTTAGCCAGAGGAGCCAGGCAGTTGGTGGTGCAAGAGGCATTGCTACCAACAACACAGTGTTAAAAATCACAACACAATGTAAAATAATGGTGATTTTCAGAGATGCAAGTACCTGACAATGGTCATAGAGGAGGGGTCATATTTGTCCTCGTTTACGCCCATGACAAACATGGGGGCATCAGGAGAGGGGGCAGACACGACCACACGCTGAGCTCCACCCTGGATGTGAGCCTTAGAACAACAGTTGAGAGAATATGATTAATAACAGACTTTTCCCAATGACCTAAATCTGTGCATGATAATAACATTTACGTACAGAGGCCTTGTCCACACTCAGGAACACACCAGTGGACTCAACAACGTACTTGGCCCCAGCTTGACCCCAAGGGATTTCGGCTGGAACACGACTGAGAAAATACAACTGTTACTACATTATTGCTCTAGTGGATTCAGTACAGTGCAAGTCCCTGTTACACTTACTGCTGAAACACACTGATGCCCTGACCGTCCACAAACAGCTTTGTGCCGTCGTGGTAGACTTCTCCTTTGTGGCGGCCGTGTGTGGAGTCATACTTGAACATGTAGACCTAAAACCAATATAAGTTAAGTAGATGGCAGCCAATAAATACAACACAAAGAAGATTTAACGACAATAAAAAAATTACCATGTACTGGAGGTCAATGAAAGGGTCGTTGATGGCTACAACCTTGATTCCCTTCTGAAGGCAAGCCCTCAAAACCAGACGGCCAATGCGGCCAAAGCTGCAGAGAAGCACAGGGCATTTTAGGAGAGGAAGCCTGAATATGATAAAAGACATCACATTCTATGAACTCACCCATTGATTCCAACGCAGAGGTCTGACATGATTGTTGTTGCTTTGGGTGGTGTGAATTACCTGCAAAAACAGCACAAGTGAAAAGGAAGATTAGAGATGCTGTAGGTAACAACATTTTTAATAGAGTTTTACATAAATGGATTGGAGTGAAATGCTGAGGCAGACGTTGATATTAAAAGAGCTGTTCTCCAAACACGGGCTGTAACTAGCAATTATGTTACTATTTTATTCTTCCATGATTAATCTTTGAATATTTTGATTCCTTCACATATTAAAAGCTGTACACATGCACATTTATTTGACGTTATTGCGATTTGTTTATATATTTATTATCTCTGATCTAAACCTTTTATACAGGGATTATTTTATAGATAATCACAGTTAATTGTTCCTTTGGGAACAGAATGACAGAATCTATCATTAATAAGTTATAGAGCACTGAGGACACCATTAAAGGAAGTAGATGCGATTACTACAGATCGTCCTTTCGACTGGTTGGTGGGACTGTAATCTCCTAATCTCTTTGTGTGCGAGATTGAGCATGTGGAACGGCCTGTCAATCTGGTGAAATGCATTGTGGGAGAACCTAAAATAGAGAGAAGTAAAAACTGGAACATCACTTATCTATGATTTTTGTGTCATCTGTGTGAAGTTTGGTGAATTTACACATGTTTTCTGTTTCTGAGCTCTGCAGTAATTACCAGCATATATTTAATGAAATGAGATGGATATTTACAAAGTGTAACTGACAAATACATTTACTTCACGCAAATGTTTGCAGTTACTTACTACCCGGGAATAACTGTGTGTCATGTGATGAATCTATTGTCCCCACTATGTCAGACTAATTGACATTCACCTCTGCTTGGTCGACTCACTGTTCATTAGGAAACCCCCTCCCCAAAAGCTCTGACCCAATTACACCGAGAATAGCCACTCTGTGTTGGAGAAGCACCACCATGTGTTTGTGCATCAGGGAGAAAGGTCGGAACGAGCTAATGACCCAAATCAAGTGATGATATTTACACAATTTACAAATACAAGATTACTACAACTGTAAACATGTGAAACCATGACTTTATCATCCATTTTATTATAATAACAAAATTAGTTAATTGTCATTTGACCTACAGTATATCTAAATTACAATTAATCATTAGCATTCTAGTTCAATTAAAGAGTAATTAATTGGAATACTAAACCAAATACATATAGCACATAGTACATAGTATCGAGCACTGTGCTGTGAGCACACAATTAATTTATGTTACTCATACATTATTTGTTTTTTAGATGATTAAACAACTGAAAATACAAGTTTTGTAACAAAGGCTGTGTCTGTTTGCCCCGGTTCATGTATGCGTCCACTTTACACTCCAGTATTGACGATCTGCCAGTGTCTGAACTCTCTGACTCCTCTCACCACCGTTGTTATTTTTAACATTCCAGTGAACATTTCCACAGACGTGACTGGTGACGCTGAGCAGCCAATTAGGTTTCAGCTTTTCACACCTCCAACATTTGAAGAAGCTGAACAGTATTCCTCACTAAGCCTTCCTCGTGGGCTTCACGTGTCCCCAGTGTTGACACTAGAGCAGATGAACTGTCCACTGTGATCACATCAGGCTGCATGTATCCTGCTGACACAGGCACACTGCTGTCTGACTGTCATTTCTGTTTTATTTCACGCGTACACAATACACCAGAAAAAAAATGGCTTTAACAACATAACTTTTATAATAATATAATAGCTTCATCAACTTTTTATACAATATGTGAATGATGACGTAAAACTCAACTCAAAACACCTAAACTAAATACTCTGTCAAATGATGTAAGTGAAGTAAATGTGGCATAGAGAAAGTGTGATGAATTACTAGTAATAAGTGCAGAGAGCCATGTTGGAGGTATTGAGGTATTGAATAGCACAGACAAAGGCAGAGCTGGACAGACACACAGTTCAATGAGCATATTCAAAAGAATAAATCATATTATTGATCAAGTCTCGAACGATCCAAATCAATATTTCAGTTAAGACCACCTCCTCTCTGCGCTTTTAGGCAGAGCTTGTGGTCGGGCACATGAATCGGAGTCACAGGACGCACATCCTTAACTGAATGAATTAAACTCAACCAGAACAACCCACTGTCCAGCCAGTGTTTCCCATACAGAACTATATTATTCCCGCACATGTTTTAGTTTCAAATATTCCAAACGTCTCCTAATAGATCATAGTTAGAATAGTAAAAGATATAGTATATTCTAATGACAATGAAATGAGGTTTGATTTTGGTATTTCAGTGTTTTTAAGTCCAGGTTGTTGACAGACTATGGGGGCTGCCATTTTCTCTCTGATTACGTAATGTTCCACATTAACTATAAGCAAAGCAAATGCAAAATGCATGAAGCCTGCTCTATCTTGTGGATCCAAGTTAAGCTATGCATTAGATACCGTTATTTTGGATTTACATGCTATTCATGATTATTTAAAATCACTGTTGAGTCCGTAATCGGTCATTTTTTGCATGAGATAATAATTTCTGAATAAATGTTACGTCACATCATAGTGCTATAAAAGCCTATACTACAGTGTGAAGCTCCAGGCCTCCTCTGCCCTTCTCCATCTGCATGGGTGACCTTCAGAGGCCAAACATGGCTGCATCACGTCCAGGAAGGGAAGGAACAAATCAATATTTCAACAAAATAACCATTAGACTTTCAGTGTGTTACACGTAGTCTATAAGTCTAGGTCCAAGATGACACCAGATGAGAATACGTGATTGGATCCTGCACGACGCACTGAATGACCAATAGTCCCGCTACAGACGCATCAACAGGTTCAGAGTGGAGTCTGCGGCAGAATCATGCGACACCTCTTTTCTCCGCCTCTCTGTGTGTCCCCCAAACGCACCACGGCAGCTACACCCCTTTGAACCTGTAGGATTAACCATGATTCAGCTTCAATGAACCAAACGCAGAACCACGGTTCAGCTCCTCTGCGGGTTATCAGGGAGCTGCTCTTCATCACGGAGTCCCTGAGACGCACGTACGTCTGCCCTCCCTCCGCCACAGGCCTGCAAATCACTGCGTCACCGTTTATCCTTTTAGTTAGATGTGAACAACCCAAAGCTGCACTGACTCTATCTATAGCACTGATAAATATATTCTACGCGCACTCTCTGCATAGTAAAACATTTCTGTACAAAACTAGCAGATTACGTAACAGACGCTAATCCACCTAACCGAGATGCTGCACAGGGCTCCTCCGTCACGACGCATCTTCACGTCAGACCTCTCTCTGGACATTTTACTATCCCAGTGTAACATTCCAGTCAGTATTGTTCCTTTGGTGAGATTGGGGGCGATTGCTCTAGCGCTGGTTTAATTAAATGACGCAATAACCCACCCCCAGATAATGCATTACACAACATTACACTGAGGCCTGGATCTCAGCCTGTGCGTCTCATCCCTTCCCCCTGAGAAGCCCACAGCAAATCCAAGAGTAAAATGGAAGAGAACACCGCTCCAAAGCTAAGAGTCTAGCGTCATGATGGACGAATGCGTCACTTTGAGGATCTGAGTAGTAGGTTGATTGATATATTTGTTCATATTTGTAGAATCTAAACTCTCGTGTTTCCCTCTCGGATGTACATTTCATGTGTGAGACACATTCTTGATGGGTTAAACAATGCAGCAGTGGGCTGCTATCCCGGTCATGGTGGGGGATGAATGGAGGCTGCACTTGCACAATGCTGGATCAGTTAACCGCCGTGACCTCTGCTCCTCTGCTCTGGCGCCCATTCTAACACCGAGTTGTGTGATTTGTGTGGTGGACGCAGTGCACTACTCTTATATAAGAAAAGACCATGGCTTACCTCTGTCGTCGCTTCTTTCCTGTGCGCAGCTTTCACGTCCACAGTCAGGCTTTATACTGACCACGTGCCACCGAGAGGATGGTCACCCCGGCAACGTGACGTCACGACCTCCGCGCATCTTGCTTACAGACCTTGAAGACAAGACTTGCTTTAATGTTTATATTTATTTAACAGGTCCGTATCACGATGCAGCCTCATCGAGGCTGTTTCCATTGTCCAGAGGAGGCTATTTTTGTGATGAGGGCGGAGTATGCCCGTTATGGCCCGGGGCTGTGTCTTTACCATAGACTTAAAAAATCCGGTCCTGTACCAAAAACCTTCTTAAGGACCATGGGGACATGACGTAAGATACGATACATTTAGATCGGACCTCTGCATGGCTTTTAGTCAGCTAGTGTTTTTGGAGCTCACTGATGTAAGCAAGAGATACACAGGCCCAAGCCCCCGTGCCTTTACTGTTATTATGCATGTGTTAATCCATAGACTCTGAATATTATATTTTCAATGCTTCATGTAGTCCGTCGGATGCACAGCGAGTGACCCCTTCCATCCTGGCGCACGCGCATGAGTGACACCAGTCCACTACGTGACCGTGCAAGTCCCGCAGAGGACCATGGGAAATCCCTGCAGTACCCCGAATCACCACAAGTGCCCAATTAAGGCTGAATCACTAAAAGCTGGGCTCAGACTTCGTATCTATTATCCAGTAATGACTTTAACAAAAGCTGAGGATGCATTCACGTAGATTACTTATTGTTTTTTTGTGAAAAAAATATGCCTCACGACCTCATAACTCAGTTTATTAACCAAAAGAAAAAAAACAAATCAAAATAAATTTCCGGCCCATGTACAGTTCATTGTCTACAATTCTCATGTATTATACTCATGTGATGTAGTCATGGATGTAATACATATAAGGAGAACACGGTGTACCCATACGTACCAGATACTACATCCAGCCACTGAGACTCTGGCTCTATCTGGTGGATAAATACTGTCCTCTGTAATTCTAAGCCGCATGCCCCGAGGTTTCCAAATTAATCTCTCTGATGTCTGTTAGACGCAGAAGAAAAGAATCATCAATGGGTCTGTCGGGCCTCTTGTGGGGTTCCAAATGGCGCAGAGAAAGGTGGAAACACTGGCCCTTTCTTTTA